CTGCTTGCATTCGAGCTTTCACAACCTTATCTTCGGGACTGTCTTATTACCCCTCCATCTTAAGGTACTGCTTCAGATAGATGTCTACAACAACTGACCGGTGCTGATTTTTGACAGATTCTCCTGGGATAACTTTGCAATCTCTGCGGTGTTTCGGTTCGTTCCTTCGGAGCAAGAAATTTTCTATTTTATGCAACTGCCATCTACAAAATGTCATTTCCTTCCTTATTTAGCATGCCATATCCATGTCCATTATGAATGCTGTCATAACCCCTTCGATGTTTCTAGACGTGCCCGTTCAGGTCATCAGTGATTAGCACTTTTTTGTTTAATGGTATGGTAGCAGAGCAGTGTCTACGCTCTCCCAGAGTTTCGACTTTTCCGTTTCATTCTAACCAATCTAACTGGCGTAGCTGCGTACGATATCTAGAATACTACGTTACAAGGACAAAGCCAGCTTAGTGCCCATGATTCTGTCGTTAATTCGGATGTCTTTGAATACCTTCGAATACTGGATGGCTTCATTCAGCACCCCACTTTTTACAGATATATTGCTGGTAATGCGTGTATGATGTGCTAACAAGATAGATGCATTTCTTTTAGCCTAGGCAGTGTTAATTTTGTGTCGGGTTCAGTAAATGGTGCGCAGCTCACGTTGCGAGTCTGTCCCGTGGAGGTCCATTTCTTTAACGACCTAAAGATTGATTGCTATAGGAACATGGAAGCAAACCAAATCTTAGGTACGTCTTATTTCGCAGAACCAGCTTCCACGATCAGTGTACAACTTTGAAAATATCATCAGTAATTGTCTGGCCTTCCGTGTTTGAATATGTTTACATTTTCTTAGAAATTCCACGGATTCACTTCCCTGACCGCCCCTCCCCTCTCCCTGATCGCTTTTTCTGGCTCTGAATATTTCGCTTTTTTGCCTAAGTCTATTCACCCCTCGACCGTCATTTTCGTGGCTTTGCAAAGAATTCGCATCGTGTCTTGCTAGTTCTTCCTCTGGCATTCTTCATCAGATCGATTTTCGTCCCAGCGCCTCACTGCGTACATCAGCTAGCAGTCAGATGCACCTTAAGGTAGTCTAATGAGGAATTGAACATGGCAAGATTATGCGTAAAGCACGAGTAACTCAGTCAAACCATTTCAGCCCTTTCGTCGTTCCATAACAACCCCTGCTAATTGAGTCCATAAAATTTTTGAGTAGGAAAGGACACACCACACATCTTTTGCCAGAAACCAGCGCTATCTTTATAGTCCATTTTCATTCTTATTTTCGCACTTGTCATAAATTTCAGCCGTCTCTCGTTTCGTCATAATCATTGTGAAAATTTTCATCATAAATGATATCAAGGTTATTGTCATTATCACTGTAATCATGACGATCATCTTCCATCATTATAATTGCCGTCGTTGTCATTATCTGCATTGTCGTAATCACCCCGGAAATATTAATCCTTCCTATCGTTGTAATTGTCATCGTTGTTGTCGTAATCATAATCATAATCATCACCGCTGCTTTTATTATCAGTTTTATTACTATTTCCGTTTTCATCATTATCACTGTAATTATCGTTATCAGCGTCATGGTGATCTCATCATTATCACAATCGTCATAATAATCAACCTTGGTATCGCAATAATTGTCATATTTATAATTATGGTAATCGTCGTCAGAATCTCTGCCCTCCTCATCACGATTATCAGCTTAACTAATAAGTTGTGGTAAGGATCAGCATCCACCGCTTCTGCATACTCCATGCGCGCACGCTACGTGCACTGCTTCCTTGCTCACAGTTGCCTTGGAAGCCATTTAAGCAAGGCACTGCTCCGTGCCATGTCATCGAATCACATGTAGTGTTTGATGCATCTCATGTCATTTCTGGTTATGTCATGGCGTTGCGGAACTGCTATCTGCTGAAACATCTATTGTGATTGGGAAAGGGCTTTATTACTTTTGCGAATAAAATGGTGCAGATTGCATCTAGTTTTGTAGATGCTTAAGTACCTAGGATCATGGCCTGCTTAAATGGCACCCATTTGGAGATACCAGGAGCAGTGAGCTAAGTAGTAGACCATAAAATCAGGTATTGGAAGAACTATTAGTTAGAACTAATAGTTCTTCCCCGATCAGCACAGTTCGATTTACCAAACCATTTTCGATCGTCACGCTTATCATCGTCTTGGGCATTATGATCATTAACGGCATAGCAAATACCATGATTATGTTAGTAATCGTTTTCGTTATTTTCATTATGGCCATCGTCGGGATTATCATGATCGTAAGAATCATCGTCATTCTTATCATTGCTATCGTCATTATCGCATTGAGGCAAAATATGCGTTCGTTCATCGGCATGTGTTAACGAAGCTTTTCACAGTTCCAGTCTCAAGATTTAACCTCGTGTTGCAGCGCTCTTCTGTATTTACTTGCTTCGAGGCCCGGTTAGACAGATCGCGACTCTGTTGTATTTGTGCATCTGTAGTGCTAGATGCGTCTGGCATCATTTTCCAGACCACAACAATACTTTGTTCATCAGCAACAGCGTTTCAGAGGCTGGTTTCCTTATATATATATACAACCCAATTGTCTGTGTCCGCTCCCCCTCTGAACTTTCATCCAGCCCAATGGATTCTGACAAGTAAAACACTTTGTGAGGTTCGGGTCACCGACATATTATTTGCGGACGAGGCCACCGTTTCAACCTACCGAAGCAGGTCTTGCGTTACATCCAGGCCCTCACTAAAGCAAGTGATATTACGCTGTATGTTTTACAACGTAGCAGCAGCTTTGCTTTGCTGTCTTTTGCAAAAATGGACATGTTTCATTTTAGCCAATACACGGCGCTGGCCAGCAGGAATTCGATGGGCTCGAGGTATCAGGAGAAATTGCCAGTCGAGGACGTTCCACTATTGATCGCGGAGAATCGTGACATAGACATAGATTTGGCGATGAGGGATCTGCAGGTGGAGCAGAGTCGCGTCCAAGTCGGTAACCTCCTGCTCGAAGGTACATTAATACTCTTTGTTGCCCACTGTGATGACGTTCATTCATTCACCACGAACACCATAGGCAATTTTGGCGAAGTTTTCAGTGGGGTGCTGTCGAAAAACGGTCGTCAGCTGGACGTGATCATCAAGACCGTGAAAAGTACTGCTTTACTCGTTTGATTTATTTGGCCGTTGCTGATCCCCGCACACGGTCGTGGCCGTTGTATTTGTAGATACGGCGTCCGAATCTCAGGTTAGCAGATTCGTTTCTGAGTCGCTCATGTTCTACGGCCTGCCCGTTCATCCGAACGTATCGTTCGTGATCGCCGCCACGTACGGCGGCGGCGCATCGCTGCCAGCGCTGTGCTACTTCCACCGCGGCTTTGGCAACCTGAAGAAGTTCCTGATGCGCTGCAGTGGTGCCGAGTTCGGTCCCTCGCATTCTCACTCACTGTCTACGCAGAACCTCGTTTACATGGCGTTGCACATCGTCCGTGGGGTGATTCATCTGCACGCGCACGGCATCGTCCACCGCGACATTGCCACCCGCACGTGCATGTAAGTTACAAACGTCGTCATCGAGTTTGACACATGCACACGTACGAGGAACATGAATTCAGCATCATTTGAAACACAGTCACGCCAACCCAATCGAAATACTGCTAGGAGTGTTAGTTTCTTTTCGTTCAAAGGCAGGTCATCGAAACAGTTTGATTCCTGTGTACTCTCTGTCCTGTTTTTCGAAATGTATATTTTGGTATATATAGTATAAATTACATGCGTAATGCTATAACACAACATAATGTTTGTGTAATCCTTTTATATTTACGCACTTGTGTCGGTTTTCCTTTAAGTGTTATTCAGGCATTCTCCAAGATGTCTGTTTGAATACACTTTGTGTTTGACCGATGAAATTGTTGTCACTTTTTTGTGGAATTCCTTCAGCATTTCTTACAGTTGGATAGTACCTTCCACTATCACCATGACGTCGTAACGGAACCTGAAATGATTCAACTACTCCGTTGTTTTCTGCCTCGTTTACAGTCTGTTCGTCTGAAAATCAGTTCTTTTCAGGGCGAAAAACGCTTTATAAGAATTGTTTCTGCTTCAGCCTTTATTCGGATTCTGAAAGGCGGTTGAACAACGTGATGTTCGACATGCATTCCGCGTTTATCTCCATCAGTAGGTAAATGTACGGGTTATCGAGGCCTTGCGTTGATACTGATCTCCATACAGCGTTGAGTTTGACTGAGTCGTATGCGTTTTCTTAGTCGACTAAGAAAATTTGTATTCCTTCGAATGTTTCATTAATTGATTTTACAATAAACTGAAGTCAAACGATTGGAACACCTGCTAATAAATCGCGAGTACGACGACTCGTTGACTTGAGACGCACGCCCACATTCAGACGGGTATATAACACGCGGCGACCATTGAAGCTGACAGGAACTGCTTTGAGACAAAACGCATTTTGTTCGATGGCTGTGCAGCGAATTAATTTAACAGAGCCGACTTGGTGCCCGCTAGCCTTTCTACACAATCTTGAGAAATAAGGCACGATTTTAGTTGCTCTAGGAATGGCTAAGTTATTGTTAATTTGACCATTAAAGCGTTTTTCAATCCTTTGTCGGTTAATAATTCAGGCTTCCTCTCTTCCTGATCCACAGTTTGAAAGACAAAAGCGATATTACACTAGTTGCAACAGTTTAGTGCCGAGCGTTGCACTACGGTATAACCCGTGAGAGTAAACAGGTAAATAAATATGTAGGCTGCTGCCATTTTGACTAGGCCAATTACGATTACAATACATGTTAGTTGAGTTTTACCAATTGTCAACGCGAAACGGAGTTGCGCAAAAAACGCTCTCTCGCAGCTTAACCATTCAACTAGAAATGAAAAAATTATTTCTCCCAGCAGTCAACAGTACAAGTGGTAAGTTCAGTGTTTCATGTTGGAACTTATGTTTCATGTCTGGCAGACCCGGTCCGTTGGTAAGAACTCGGTCACGAAAGCTCGCCTCCTGGAGAAAGGGACCGTTGACTGCAGAATGAATGGTCATTTTTCAGTTTTCATGCGTCAGTAGATTACGCCGTGCTGGTGTGGATATCTTCTTGTCCCGTAGATTAAGCAGGACGGTCATTTTGGTGGAACAGATGGCTTAAAGAAACCTGGTCTGTCGCCTTTCAGGTAGACAAGGCTGAATGTCAGTCGCATATGCCCTGACAGATGTGCCGAGTGACAGTGACAAAGACGATTTCCATGACTGCCT